GAGAACCAGAACGAAAATGAAACCAGAAAACAAAAACCGTACTCTGAGTCAATTTTCTTGTGAGCGATCGAGGTGGCTTTCGGTCCTTTCATGGTGTGATCTTCTGAAGCTGAGAGACTTGGAGAGAGACGAATTCGAAATTTCAAAACTCGGAAAGTGTTGAAACGTGAGAGAGTAGTGAAGCGTCGCGGCTATTTATATGGGGAGGACGGTTGTTTGTGGTTGTGAAATGAAAAGAAATTGAAATTGAAATTGAAATTCAGATGCAAATTTTGTTTTTGCATTTTGCCGGGAAGGAATGATGGAGGTCGTGGCAGTTACAGAGGGAGAGAAAGAAAAAGAGCACTCGCGGTTGCTGGAAAATGAAGACACTCGCTTCAGAGGATTGACGCGTGGTTAATTGAGGGTATCTTAGTAATTTAACCAATGTTGTGGTGGAAGTTTACAAAGCACAGCGTTTTTCAATTTTATAATTTAATTTCTTAAAAATAAATAAATATTAAACAAGATATTTTTAATTATTTTCATATGGAAAAATAAGGAAAAACATAGAAGATAATAATTATTAATTTTTTCACCAACTAATTTTTGTAAATTTTTTCAAAAACATATTCTAATAACTCAATTATACAATAGAAGTTTTATCCCTTGTTTAGGATGAGTTTTTTTAGCATAATTTTTTAACTATTTAATTATTTTAGTCTAACTAAAAAAATTATATTTGGAGTATTTTATTTTTTTTTATAGTTGATTTAATGGTCGTGAGCAGGGGTGAGAATTTGCGACACGACACGATACGATAACACGACTTAAATCGTACATGAAATTAATGTATTAAGATTGACTTCCTGACACGATCACGTATATGACACGACTAGATAATACGAATATGAAACAGGTCGGGTTAGTGTCAATTATGTATAACACGAAATTAACACGGATAACCTATATAATGAGGAATTAGTTACACATTTTAATATTACTTCCAGTAAAGAGTATTATGACATACATTTTTTTTTTATCTCTTACATAATTATATCCAATTTATTAAAAAGTATATAAAATACAATTTTAAGTTTCAGATAGGTTTATCTATCTAAAAAACAAAAAATAGAGTTTAATATAGGTTTCTATTTGTTTTTAATTGAACTTAATGTATTTTTTGTCTATTATTTGAGTTAATTTAGTAAAAAATATAATAATAAAATATAAATTTTATAAATTAAGAAAATAAAATGAGGTTGAAATTAAATATTTTTATAAATAATTTTATTTAATAGAGATTAGTTTTATTAAATTTGACTTGTGAAGAAATTTTCAATTTTTTTCATACATTTGATAGTTTTAGTTAATAGTTAAATTTTTCGACATGACATGTGAACACGTCACGAACCGAATACGGACCGAAAATGACATGACACGATAATATGAAATAATAAACGAGTCGGGTTAGTATTGAATTAATACTGACAGATGACATGACATGAACACGACTCAACACGACACGATGTCTACCCCTAATTATAAGAGAAAAAATAAAATGATTATAATTCGTATGTAAAATTTTGTCTAATTAACTATTTTAATTTTTTTTTTGTCTTTAGTAATTATTTTAGTCAAAAAATTACATCTCAAACAAGGTCTTAGTCTTCCAGTGGCCCAGATTAAAAAAAACAAAACTCTGTTACAAATTCTTATGTTGTTATTGATTTTTGTTATCAACTAAACACATAGACATAGAATGCAAACCCTACATCATATGTCTGGTTGACAAAAAATAAAAATAAAAAAATTCTATAATTTAGTTAAGATTTATTTATTTATTTTAAAAACAGTTAGATTGTATTTGGATCTTAAATTTCTTGAGTGAAAAGAAAGGAAAATAAAAATGAGAAAAAGGAAAAAAAAAAGAGATTATATTAAATCATTTTGTTGGATAGAAGGATCAAAGGAGTCATGTTGTCTCAGAGGCATCAAAGAATCTGATCCTCTATTCTGAATTTTTATCTCAAAATATATATATATATATATATAGAGAGAGAGAGAGAGAGAGAGAGAGAAATCTCATTAACCTAACCATTATTTCCTATTACTGCAATATAAGAACTTTCATTTGTTAGTGATGTCATATATCATTGTTATTCTAAATATTTAACTAAATTTTAACAAGATTTTATTAATTTTCAATTGATAGCATGAAAAATTTAATGGTTTACAAATGAAATGAAAATCTATTGATTTCAAATTCGACCAAACCTATCTTACTGTTCGAATCAGCCTAATTTCTTCTTTTTGGGCCCTCCAATGATCAAAACTTGGTCTATCCCTCTGTGTATTAATGTGATTGCTATGTTTTTTGTGGCAATTGATAAAAACATATATCAGAAATGATAGAGAGCTCTCTAACTGGGGCTCTAAACCCAACTCCAGTGATGTGGAAATTTAAAAAAAAAAAAAAAAAATTCATGACCAAAACATTATATCATATCACGCCCTAAAATTTATTACTATTGTTGGATTAATGTGGTTTTAAATTGGCATTGTGCATAAAATTTTTAAAAGATGAGAGAAATATTTTGAGCTTGACATGACATATGCATTCATCTCATAAGATTATATAAATGTATTTGATGCTTTGTTATATGTCATTATGAATTGTTTAATTATTTGATTCAATTGACAATGGGATAATTGAATAAATTGAAAATGGTGTTATGTTACTGTTAAGACATGCTTATTTATTTAAATTAACTGGTTGTGGTTAATTAAATAAATTGGATTTAAGAAATTATGTAATAGAATCATATGGTTTGACATGATATAATTTCACGTATATATATGAGTACCTTTGTACTCGCATATCTTCTAATATTTTAATATGAGACTATTTGGTGAGTTAGTGGTTGTTCACCCCCTACCTGTACATGTGTACAGGGAATGCTTTTGGATTTGAAGATTAAACAATAGATTTTACCATTTCATAAGTGTAATGTAGTGATGGATTGTACTACTTCATTTGTTTGTTTGGCTGAATGCTATTTTTTGTAAAGAATAGTGTCCCCTTTTTTATTGTAAGCCTCAGGGCTTTTTTTTATTTGTATGTAAATGTCTTTATTGTATCACGAGAGGAAACATGTATATTTAATTATTTATTATTTTATCAAAGGATGAATTGTCATTTATAAATGAATTTAATTAATGAATATTAGTAATGTTATCTGAGTAATAAAATACAAGGCATGACATATCACATGAGGCCGATCACAGATTAGAGCTCTCTAGAACTCATAAATTAGAGCTCCCAATCTTTTTTTAAACATATATTTATGGTTTTTTCGCTAAAATCTCTCTATTTGCCAGATAAACTATAAATATAACGAGTTGTATTACAAATAAGCAATATAATAGTATAGTATTGCCGCACCTTATGGGGGTGGTTAGTAAAGATTATTTTAAGTTAAAAACTGATAATTAGAAAGCTGAAGTTAAAAGCACTCTCCTCAACTTCTACAAAATCAGATTTTTTCAATTTATTTAAATTATTTCTATTTAATAAGGTATAAACAGAAATTGTATTAAACAATCTGTCACAAATTTTTAAATTAAAATAAGTTATAAGCTACTTGCATAATCCCCACCAAAGACCATCATAAAAATGTTAGACATATTATTGTGGGGAGGAGAAGTTTGGCCCCAAATATCTTATGCCCCAACAACCCAAGAAGAAGAAGACCTAGCACAATGACAAGCCCAAAGCATGATCGGCTAAAAGAAACACAATGTAGTCGATCATTATAAGAGGCACAGTTTAGCTGATCTCTAAGAAGTAACTTCTGATGAGGTCCATCCGTTTGATGAAAGAGGAGATATCCAACGCCATACGACAATTGCAAGTTGAACATCGTTTGACTATAAAAAGAGAACTAAGCAGCATTCTAAGCACAAACAATTCATTATATTTTTCTATTGCAAATGAGTCGAGCAGAGCAGAGCTTTGCTGAGCTTGAGCTCGGCACATTTGCTTATCGAGCTCATTTATTGAGTTCGAGCTCGGCTTTATAAATAATTGGATTCGAGCTCGGCTCGGCTTGTTAATATTAATGAAACTCGAGTTCGGCTCTGCTCAATAAGATTTTTTTACATATTATTTTTATTATTTAAATAAAAATATTATTTATATATATTTATATATTATTTCATATATAAATAATGTATTTATTATATAATTTAAATAAAGATAAACGAGCCGAGCTCGTTCGAGCTCTAGTTCGGCTCGTTTACTAAACGAGTCAAGCCGAGCCAAGCTTGTTTGTGAACAGTTCAATTCATTTGCAGCCTTATGTATAATCAAGATATTTGACTCGATTATTGGAGAGTCTTCCCAACCATTGTAAGTCAAGAAAATAACTGACTTTGGATTATTTTGCAGGATAGGCAGAAGCTTAGACGCACCTTTTCACTAGCTACCTGTGGAAACAAATCCTTCCTCCACAATTATTTTATTGCATAAATTATTATTTCTCTCACAAAAACGATGGGCAAATACCCCAATTATTATTGGTGATTTATGTAGTGAAATATAGTTTTAAGTCCGTAAACTTACTCTAACACAAATAAGAGAATGAAAACATAGTTTGGGAAAAAATGATAGGTAATTCTTTATCCTTCAGCCTTCCAAAATCAAGGCTTTGACAAAGGAGGGAATTGTCCATGCATAGTTTAGAAGAATTCTTGCTTTCAATGGCAAGAATAAGCGCTTAGTTGTCTTGTTTGATAATTCCATCCAGAATAAGGTCTTAACAATTTAGGGAGCTAACGTTGTTTGAACATATCACAATATTGAATCACCTGTAAGCAATTTGAACAACTAAACCAAGTCAATAACTGTACAGTCACATATTTTTATAGTGTTACACTTTTTCATCAAAATGTTACTCAACAATAATAGATGATATTATATTTCAACTTTTTGTAACATTTCGATAAGAAAAAAAAAATTACACTACCATAAAATATGTAACTGTATCATAATTATTGTAATTTCATTTTAAAAATCAGATTTTGTCATAACACTACACCAACAAATTATGTAACATTTGTTACAAAAAGTTGTAACATTTACTTCAAAAATATTTAACTAGCATTTCCCTTGATTTGATTATATAACTATGCATAAGACCTGGTCTATATTAATTTTTAAATACCATTTTACTCGAATAATATAAATATTAATGTTTGAAACATATGAAATCTATTCAGTGTCTATGGATATAAACGTATACTTATATTGGGCACTCATACTTGAGTTCATGTGATGTAAAGTTCAGAAAAATTAGCAAACACTTCTAGCAAATCACTAAAATCACAATTCTTCGGTGCGTCGGCAGCCAATATTATAGTGCGAACTAGTCTCCAACACCGAACTTCATGTAATTTAATTCTTGTGCTATTTCAAATTCTATAAATTAGTAGAAACCCTTTCAAATTATATTTCACCATTAAAATTACAAATTCGAATTACTATTGTACATTACTAACATTAATCAGTAAGTATGTGTTAGACAAAGTTAATAATAATGAATATGAAGGCTTTGGATGACTATAAATAAGAGAATGACATACCTCTTCATTGGAATGGAAAGATTTATTGATTTTCTCTCTCACATTAGGGGTCAAAAGGAGTGCGATTCTTGTATTGACAATTGCACCGATGGTGGCAATTTATATCCAGAGCAAAAGCTTACCAGGTGTGAACATTCTGTAATGGAAACCCTTTTTAACTGAGGGGGCACGGGAATACTTTCAACTTGTTCGCTTGTTGCTTTATCTCTTGAAACTATTCCTTCCCCAGCATTTGATTCTCTGGTTTTGAATATCTCTTCTATGGACTTACAATCATTTATCTCAAGTGATTGTAGATTCTGCAAACTTCCAAGTAGTTCTAATGGAGCAACATATAGTAATTCTTCACACCAGTCCACACACAAACTTCTTAGTTTATTAAAGGAGTTGGTTGGAGGTGTGCTAATCCATATTTGTTTAAAGTTGCTCAGTCTCTGAATTCTCAATTTTTCCAAGGAAGGAAACACAACCTATATTATTGATAATAACATAAGGAATAAAGAAAAAATTATTAACTTCTATTAAAAAGAAAAAAGACAGAAAAAAAGAAAGAGCTTCGATCTCTCAAACAAGTGAACGAACAATAAGTTGTATGAAAAATTGTTACTGGCGGTTTAATTTTTTATACTTTCCTCTCATTGACCACAATCAACAATAACTAATTTGATTTTTGCTTAATAACAAGATACAAACAAACAAATTAGAACTGGTCACCCTTTGAAAGTGTTAAAATTCTCTATCTAATGAGAACAACGACTGAATGCAAGAGTAAGTATCCCCTCTCTCTCTCTCAATAGAAATTTTCACATAAAAAGGTACATTTGAATTTCTAATCACAGCTGCGAGATGGACAATATATTGGTATTATTATCATGCATTTTCGTGAATTTCTAGTTCACCAACCTAATTGAATCTTTTTAGCATGTCTCCCAATTCCGTTACTACTATGAGTATCTCCACTATGATTTGCATAAACTTGGTAGAGAAATATTTAATGAATTTTATTATTTTAAATTCCTTAACTGGTTACTGATTTTATTAGTTAAGAAAGTAAAAAAACCACAAAAAAATCAAAGCCAAAAAAGTTAAAACGCCACAATATACATATCAATTATTCTTTTTTTTTTTTCTACAATTCTCTATTCAACTAAAAAATCATTTCAAATATACTAACTTTTTCACTGCACCGAAAAATCAAAAAGTTACTAAAGAAGACAATTTGCCAAACAGGGCCTCAGAGTGGGTTTGTAATTTTTTTCCACAAATTAAAATATCTCAATTAGTTCTTGTAGATAGAGTTTTCATTGAAAAAAATAAATTAAAAAATATATATGATTGTTTGAGATGTCTGAAATAATGAAAATAAGCAAACAATTTAAAACAAATAGAGTAATAAAAAATGGATAAATAGAATTAAGCAGAAAAATGTCTATTTATCTCTTAGTTATTTTTGAGACCACAATTTTATTGGAAAATTTCGAGTCTCTAATAGTTAGGCTTAGCTTATTTATTTTATTTTATGTTTTACCAATTGATAAGTGGAAAGAGAAAATGTGTGTGAAATTAGGTGAAATGTAGATATATGTTATTCACATTTCACCTACATTTTCCCTTTCTCTTTTCAAATCCCTTCCCAAATCTTCAAACCAAACACGGCGTAATAGTTAGGCTTGGCTTATTTATTTATTTTTTCTATTTTACCAATTGATAAATGATTAATTAACATTTAACTTATTGATTACGTGGCACCTTTTGTAGTGTGAGATTTTAGTTTCAACTTTTATAGATAAGAGTTTGATACCTTTTGTGATGGTATTTATTTGTCCCTCATTATAGGGGTTGAATGTAGATAGTAGTTGTCGGGCTTGGGATTGGCTGTGTTAGGTTTGGTGGTTGTTGACTGTCTAGTTCTTGTTAGGTAATAGTCTATTTGATAGGTAAGAAACAACTCAATCTCAACAAATACCATAATAAAAAACCCATGACAGAAATAATAAACAACACAATACAACGTGAGTTTTTGATAAAAATTGACCCCCTAACTTTTTAGATAGAAGTGTAAAAAAATGGTCAATTAAACTAGCCCGGTTAGCTAGGCTTAGGCCTCATTTGATATGTAACAATTTTAGTTTAAAAGTTAAAAAAATACTAAAAAAATTAAAAAGTCTATAACTTATATCAAAAAGTTAAAGATTTCATTTTCTCTCTACTTTTTATACATTTTTTCATAAAAAATAAAAAAATTATTCGAACATCCTAGTTTTTTTAACTCATGTTTTAGCCAAAATATTAAAAAATTACTAAAATATCATATTCTAAAATGAGACCTTAGTTTTTTTTTTTTTTTTGATAAGCAAAAGAGAACTTTATTGATGACGAAAAACATACAAATACATATGAGTTGAACATCAATAAAGAGGTGGAAGAGCAGAAGCGCATCAAAGCTAACAACTCAATCCCAACTAGGTTGACATCGAGAAGAGAGCCCAATCATCTGCGAGCTCAACCACAAAGGGATGGTGAGAGACCATGCCCAGAAATAAAATAAAGACCCCAAAAACTCAACCCCCAAATCACCATGCAACACCCAAATAATTCCAGCAGCAGGGCAGAGTAGACCAATCCAATAGCATCATCTATAATCACCACCTAGCTAGCAGCAGCAGACCAGCAGATGATTGGGGTTGGCATCATCTAACCAATATTGCAAACTACACAACAAACCAACTGCACATCATATATATAACACCACATCCTATAACACCACACAACAAACCAACTGCACCATCGTATACATCTCCATCACAGCAGCATCACTCAACAAAACTGAATAACAAATTAGACTGGTGAAAACTACCAACGGCTAGATGATGACACACTGATGATGACAGACCTTAGTTAATTATGCCTTAGTCATTTTGTGGACACTAAGGCATGTGCATTCGACTAAAAATTAACTTTTTGTTATTTAATTTTCCACATAAAAATTAAATTTTTAACATAAGATTCATCCACATGCAATGGAATATTAATTAACAAATTATCACACTAACACACCCTCCAATTTGCTATTCAGCTAGTCCAATCCTACGCAATCAACAAACAAGCTGTAAAATTGATGTATTATTATTGATTGATGTAGATGTTGTGTATATTACAATTACAAGGATTCCTATTATATAGGAGTGTGTTTGTGGAGATGGTGGTGGTAGGTGAGTGTATAGGAGTGTGTTTGTGGAGATGGTGGTGGTAGGTGAGTGTGTGATAGTGGAGGTGGTAGGTGGAGATAAATTCTAACACAAGCCAATAATGTTTTTTTTTCTCAAATTTAATTTTTATAAGCATTCATAATGAATAAACTAGAATTTCAATTCTGTGAGATTTTATGTTACTTGCATTTTATGTTGTATTTTTGGATAAGAAGAAGAAGATTCTAGGTTTAGTTCCTGAGGAAACCCATTGGAATGTAACCCCCATAATTGCAATCTATTCTCACTCGTGCTGTAAATTTCCCTTTGAAAAAATAGAACAACTTCATCAAATGACAAAAAATAATTATATAACTATTTCAATATCTATATATTTGATCTGCCAAACATACTATTATAATATTGTTTACCATATGGTGTTATGATCCACCCGTCCCCAAATTGACCACCGGTCCCGATTTGACGTTTAAGCAAAGTTCATAATTCTATTAACAAATATTGTCTTGGGTTTAGGATAAATTTTTATTTTTGTTCTAATACCAGATGTTTTAGGACTTTGTTTTTACAAGTTTAAATAATTATACTATGTTTAGATCTAGAATTTTGGAAAAGTAGAAAAGTGAAAATGAAAGTATTTGTACTTGTTCATTTTTTTTACATTAAAAAAAGAAAGAAAGAAAGAAAGAAAAAGAAAAGATATATTGGAGAGCTATTTATTTTCTTTTCATTTTCTTAGTTCAACCAATAAAAGTAAAAATATTCAATTCATCTCACCTGGTTTTTATTTTCTATTTTCTTCCCACTTCCCTAAACAAATACTAGAACGAAACATAATGTAAGAATTCAAAGGTTTTGTGATTAGGAGCTAGGGTCAGAAAATAATATTATCTCTTGAGGTGGTTAATTACATTTTGCGATCATTGGATTCTATCAATCATAACTTTATCATAATTAGTCACAACAAAATCACAAAAATATATAACTTTGCTCACAAAAAAATCATAAATTTTAATGTTTATAGCATATAACTATAAAATTCATTACGCGATCACAATAATTTGTAATTTGACTCACATTAGGTACCCCTCTGAAAAAAATAAAAAATCAAATGAAGTAGTATTGTTTCGTGAATTTTACCAAAGTGGTTTATGAGTTGGCTGGCTGATTAGAAAATGGTAAATTACAAATGCATTTTTTGAGATTTATTTAAAATATAAATTGCTTCTGGTGTTTTAAAAAAATACAGATACACCTTTGTTAGAAATTTTTATTTAACATAATTAACTGAAAAAATAAAATTCCTAACTACTCTCCTACACAATAATAAAATTACCTAAATTGTTAATTGAAATAAATTTTAACACCATTAAAAACTATTAATTAACTTGATGCTTTATTAATAAAAGAGGTAATTTGTCATGAAATTGGAAATCTTATAGAACGGGATGCAATTTCTAAAAAAAAAAAGAGATAATTCATATTTTAAACAAATCTCAAATAATGTATTTATAATTTACCCATTTAGAAAATTTTTGATAGGTACCCAATTAGAAAATTGATACTTCTAAAAACTTATAAAACAGTCATACCTTTTCATTAAAGAGGGGGTGCGGTTTGGAAATTTCTTCTTCTGCTTTAGATCCACAAATGCTGTAGAAACTCTTTAGATTGTTCATACCAAAAAGATCTAGAGAATGCAAGTCACGAAAAATAAGAGGCTTATTGTGGGCCCCTCCTTCCTTATTAGTTACAACTATTGCTTCCAATTCCAAGCATGTGGATATACGTAGATCTCGGAGATGCGGTAGGTTCCAAAAGGATTCATTCTCTTCTTGTTGGACTGGGAGTTTTAATTGTTTGTCTCCTATTATCCCTGATATGTTGTCTACATACTCAATTTCCAAGTACTCCAAGGCAGGGAATGCCACCTGCAAAATTTAATAGATCAAACTCACTTTTTTTTCAAAAAAAATTTACGCATATAAAAGTATATTTGAATTTTCTAATCAGAGCAACGAGATGGATCTATTATTTGGTATCATTATGATGCTGCATTTTCATGAATCCTATCAAAATTGTAATCATCACTTCAAATATATGTTAACATATCCATGTATTACGCTCCACTATAATTTGCATAAATTTGGTAGACAAATATTTGATATGTTTCATTTTTTAAATTCCTCAACTCATATATGGGGTGGGTTTGCGATTGACTTTTTTTAATTCATAACAAATAATTTTTTTGACTTTTAATTTTTGTAACCAAAATTAATTTTTTTAAAGTCTCCAAATGCCCACTTATTAGTCATAGATAAACAACCTCATTATAATTTTGGGATTGGAAAGGGTTGTTCAATATGAAGTAGAAAATTAGCCTCGTTTGGAAGCATACTATTCTAATAATTTTTTATTTTTTACAAAAAGATATGCACAAAAAGTAAAGAGTGTGATGTGATAACTTATAGTGACTTTTTAGCTTTTTGACTAAAATCTAAGATATACTCTATCTATATCAAATTGTTTGTTTATTTTTTTATAATTGTGTACCTTAATCGAGTAAATAATATATATTTATAAATTCAATTTTTTTTCCACAAATTAAAATATATCAATTAATTCATGTAGATAAAGTTTTCAAAATCATTGAAAAAAATAAGAAAATATAGACTATTTTTTGAGACGTTTGAAATTGTGAAAATAGAACAATTTAAAACTAGGGGAGTAACAAAAAAATGTGTAAATAACATTAAGAGGAAAAACATCTTAGTTACTCTTAGTTAATTTTGCGTTAGACAATTTTTTATTTATTTATTTTTTTCTTAATTTTGGGTCTCTAATAGTGGCTTAGTTAGTTTTATTTTATTTTATTTTATATTTTGTCAATTGATAAATGATTAATTACAAATATGAAAATAATTGCATCAATTTGAACAATTTTATTTTGTTTTGTTTTATATTTTGCCAATTGATCAATGTGAAAAATTATAATCCAACAACTCAACTCAACTCAACTCAACAAATAACATCAATTTGTTTGGGAACCTTAATTTTTAGCTAAAACTATAACCTATCAAATCATTTTCTCTACTTCACTACATGTCCTTTTATAAAATAATTAATTCTCAAACACCTAACAAATACCACTAAAAAAACCCAAAAGCAAGAAAGTAAGAAACAACTTAAGCCCAACAAATACCACAGTAAAAAGCCCATAATGGAAACAATAAATAACAATATAGTGATGGAGAGATAATCAATCTGTCTTTGGTAAAAATTAACACCCTTAGCTTTCCAAACCAGAGTAAAAATTCTATTTTGTACTTCAATATACTTTAATTGACGATTTAGTATCGGATGTGCAATATATTAAGTCTTGTGCTTTCCTAATCTAAAAAAAAAAACCTCCTAGAGTAAAAATTTAGTGTAACAGTGATATTAATGACGTGGTATCACCAACAAATAATAAATGTTCATTATGTGAAGGGCCAACTCAATAATTACCTTGCCACGTATACAAGGAGGGTAAAAGATAAGAAATAATTAGTTATTGATACCAATGACATGGTATCACCCTTATATTCAATTTTTTTCCCCCTATATAGAATTATAAAAAATGATCAATTCAACTAGTCTAGTTAATTACACTACAATATATAAAAGTTTTAGAGACCAAATTTTTTTGTCTCTAAAAGTAAAAATTTTGTTGTAAAAGACATTTAGGGACTAATTTTTATCGTCATAAGGATAGTCGCTAATAAATAGACTTTTAGGGACAAAATAATTTAATTTCAAAATGGTTTATTTTTTTAGACAAAAAGAAAATGGTCCTAAAAGGATAATAATTCATCAATGTTCAATTTTCATTACTAAAAATATAATGATAACACTTTTTGCAACAAAAATATTTGATCCCCAAAAAATAATCTTGTCCCTAAATTTTGATCTCAAAAACCTTAATTTTCTGTAGTGTTCGGCTTAATTAATTACACCTTAATTATTTTACAAACACTGAGACGTGTAGTCGACTGAAATTGAGTTATAAGTTCAAACTTGTATTTTATTCTTACTAATGCAAGATTGTTGGCTAGATAGTGCAATAATTTTTGTTATTTGATTTTTCGCGTAAAATTGAACATTTTATACAATTCCTTTACTTTTAACATAAGATTCATCCATATACAATGGCATATTAATTAATTATCACACTCACACACCCTCCAATTTGCTATTAAGCAAGTCCAGTGGCACGAAATTAATAAACAAACCAATAATTTTTTTTCTCAAATTTAATTTCAAAGGATTCAAAATGAATGAACGAATCATTTACAGACTTCTTTCTCTTTTTCTTTTTCTTTTCAAAATTAATTTGCATTAGATGTTGTATTTTTGGATAAGAAGAAGATTCTTGGCTTAGTTATTGAGGAAACCTATTAAACTGTAATCACAATAATTACAATATAGTATTCGAACTCTTTGCTCATGCTATAAATTGGCTTTTGAAAGAAAAGAACAACTTCATCAAATGACAAAAAATAAAACATGTCATTGTAAATATTGTTCTTAATAAGGGCTTATGATTCATAGTCTCCGAATTGAAGTTTAAATAGAGTTCATAATTCTATTATCAAATATTGTCTTGGGTTTAGGATAAATTTTTGTTTGTTCTGATACCAAATGTTTTAAGGTGTTGTTTTTAAAAGCTTAAACAATTATGCTATATTTAGATCTAGAATTTAAAAATGAAAGTATTTCTACTTGTTCATTTTTTCTATATAAAAAAGAAAAAAAAAAATATAGATATATTGGAGAGCTATTTATTTTTCTTTATATTTTCAAAAAAAGTAAAAACATTCGGTTCATCTCACTTAGTTTTTCTTTTCTAATTTTTTTATTTTTTATTTTCACTTCCCCAAACAAATCCTACAACCAAACATAACCTAAGAATTCATAGGTTTTGTGATTAGGATCTATGGTAAAAAAATAATATTATCTTCCCGAGGTGGTTAATTTTATGCCTAATGTTTCCGTTTCAAAATCTACTTTAATTAGGTTTCAACTCAAGATCTTTCCAGTGCTATTAATCTTATTTTGGTTGGGAATGAATAAAGGGAAATTTTTCATACACACTCCGTGCCATATTTCATAATTTTACCATATTTCATCGTAATAAAATCACAAAAATATATAAGTTTGTTCATCCAAAAAAAAATCTTAGTTCCTTATGATTAAATATAACATAACCACAAAATTAAATAATAACTAACACTACAAAAAAATCAGTATACTTCCTTATGATTAAAGGTAATATGGGTAAAAAAAAATTAATAACAAATCTTTTTACTCAAAAAAATTAACCTAGAAATTTATCCAAAATGAAGATAGCTGGCTTAGATTGTGTTGTGGATTCATATATAAAATGCATTTAGACATTTATTAAAATTTTTGAATAAATTTATGGGGTCGAATTTTTAATCACATGGTAGTATTGATACTTTTAAAAACACATAAAACATATGACAGTCATACCTTTTCATTAAAGAGGGGTTGTGGTTTGGAAATTTCTTCTTCTACTTTAGATCCACAAATGCTATAAAAACTCTTCAGATTGTTCAACTCAGAAAGATATAGAGAATGCAGGTCACGAAAAATGAGAGGCTTATCGTTGGGCCCTCCTTCCTTATTAGCTACTACTATTGCTTTCAATTTGGAGCAATTGGTTATACGTAGATCTCGGAGATGCGGCAGGTTCCAAAAGGATTCATTCTCTTCTTGTTGGACTAGGAGTTTTAATTGTTTGTCCCCTATTATCCCTGATATGTTTCTTACAAATTCGATTGTCAAGCCCTCCAAGGCAGGGAATGCCATCTGCAAAATTTAATAGATCAAACTGATGTTCTTTCAGTTATCAAGCATTTCCAAATCACCAGAAAAAGTTACTACAAAACAAACCTTTTCACAAAAGAGAGGTCGTGAAGGATTAAAATTGTTTGCCTCTGTTGTTGAAGTGTTTTTCATATTCGAATAGAAGCTTCTAAGGTTGGGTAAGCCATCTAACACCATTTTTTTAAATGATGAAAAATAATTTCCTCCTCGTCTCCTTGTCTTTCATTTCTAATAATTTCTTCCATACCATCACATTCTTCTATTTCTAGACGTTGGAGTTGCTCAAGACCTCTTGCAATGGAGTGTGTGAAGAGAAATTTAAATTTACAATATGCAACATGCAATTCACACAAGTTACAAAAAGAACCTGGCGGAATTTGTGGTTGAGATTTTAGAAACTGTAATTCAGAAAATCCCATTCCATCTTTGCTGTGAGACAGAACCTTTTCCATACCTGTAAGGCTAAGTATCTCAAGATTCCTTAAACTCCCTATTATCCCTGATTTGTTTCCTACATGTTTGATTGTCAAGCCCTCCAAGGCAGGGAATGCCACCTGCAAAATTTAATAGATCAAACTGATGTTCTTTCAGTTATCAAGCATTTCCAAATCAACAGAAAAAGTTACTACAAAACAAACCTTTTCACAAAAGAGAGGTCGTGAAGGGTTAGAATTGTTTGCCTCTGTTGATGAAGTGTTTTTCATACTCGAATAGAAGCTTCTAAGGTTGGGTAAGCCATCTAACACCATTTTTTTTAAATGATGAAAAATAATTTCCTCCTCGTCTCCCTGTCTTTCATTTCTAATAATTTCTTCCATATCCTTACAGGCTCTTATTTCTAGACGTTGGAGTTGCTCAAGACCTCTTGCAATGGAGTGTGTGAAGAGAAATTTAAATTGACAATTTTTAACACGCAATTCACACAAGTTACAAAAAGAACCTGGCAGAATTTGTGGTTGAGATTTTAGAAACTGTAATTCAGAAAATCCCGCTCCATCTTCGCTGTGAGACAGAACCTTTTTCATACCTTTAAGCTTAAGTATCTCAAGGTTCCTTAAACTCCCAAATAAAGCTATATTTGTCATCAGTCGGCCGCCATTTAGACATAACATCCGAAGCTTAACTAATGTTGGAAGTGATGATGGGAGGCTCTTTATAGGCATTTGACTCAGATCTAGGACTTCAAGATTGTTTTCCATTCCATTGAAAAAATTGTTTGGAAAATCTGTTGGTGAGTCATTGCTGCACTGTAACACCAATGTATGGAGTCCTCTACATTCCAACTCATTAGGAAACTCGTGAAGTTTTGCAGTGAACCTTAATGAGATTGCCGAGTAATGTTCATATCTGCCTTTCTCTGGCCACTTTTCGATACCATGTTTTACTAGATATCTTTTCTCATCTTCCGCGATCGATATAGCGACATCCCGGATAATATCATGCATTTTGACCACACTTTCATCTCTGCCATCTAACACCAAACAAGATGTTTTGAGGACATCAACCATTGCAAGTACTCTATCTCTTACTTCATCAAATATATTCAGGTTTTGATCAAGTAACCTCATCCCAATGCTATATCTCACCAATTCGTCAATTGAAATCTCAGCATCTTCCTTAAACAAAGAGCAAAGCAAGAAGCATGACCGTGCATCCTTGGGCTCTAGACGATCATAGCTCCATTTTAATGAGACGAACAAATTTGGATCGATATCCGCAATTTCTTTTATCTTGTAATTTTTAAGTTGTCGAAGTGCATCTTTCCACGCATGTTTTCCCTTGCCTTTTAATGCTGCTGCAACTGCACGTATAGCAACTGGCAAGCCTCCACATTTGTCACACACTTCCTCTGCTTCAGAAGGGATTTCAAAGTCCACAGAAATTTCAGCCACCTTCGTAAATAGGCTCCATGCTTCTGTCTTTGTTAACACATGAATCGGGAAATTTTTTAGTTCACTAGACTTTTGCATCATTTTGCACACACGTTGTTTCCGCGTAGTTATCACAACTTTGCAGCCCATATCACTACCAGTTGTAAAAGGAATTCCAATATCTGGCAAGTTAAGTGGCTCATTGTTACCACCATCTGTAGTAGGAATTCCAATATCTGCCAAGTCAAGCGGCTCCCAAACGTCGTCCAATATTACAAGGGTTTTTTGCCCATTCCTCAGTCTATTCAATAGTTGACCTGCTCTTCCATACTCATCTAGCTTTAGTCCCAATTGACTTGCCAGTTCACCTTGAACTTTTTCCTTTTCCACAGCTTTGGACACAGTTGTCATTGCGACGGAATGAAAAAGCCCATTTCTCTTTGCTAGTTGGCGAACCTCTTCCACCATTGTCGTCTTGCCAACACCGCCTGGTCCGTAAATACCAATCATTTTAATGCTAGGATCTTTCAACGATCTTATGATCTCCTCGAAGATGTGTTTCCTTGAATCAAATGCTTCATAATTTGCAGATAATGTGAATCCAACGTCTGGGAGAGGTGCGCGGTGTGACACTGGGCATGTCATAAACTTGGCGCCCTTCTCTTTTAGGATAATAACACAAGCAGTCTTCTTTTTGGACTCCTTGCCTAGCCGGTAACGCCAATGAATATTTGGACACAAGCAATTAAAGCAGGACTTGTTTTCCCTTACCATGTCTAGTAGAAACACCTCGACTTCTGCTTTCATCCCATATGCGGACATCAGCCACTTCCAAACATCATTCTCAATGACTCCTGCATCGTCTCTGGCTCTGTGGGCACTTCCGTCGATCCTTCTCCACTCATCATCAAGTCCTACAATTTCATCTTCAAGTTTTTGAATATTCTTCTTATAGTGAATCACATAGCCAACGTGAGACCAGCCAGCTTTGCAGGTTTTTATGACACCGTCCGAACATAATATTTTACCGATGTCGCCCCAACCAAACATTTTTGTATTCTATTTTTGTCCTCTTTTTTTTGGGTCTTTTTTTTGTCAACTGCTGAAAACAAAGGGCACAACGTTGATAATAGGAAAACATAGTACAAGAGTATTTAGCTTGAAGAGCTCATTTTTTTCTTGTGTCCAGCTTCTCGAGAGAGAGAGAGAGAAAAAAAAACCTGTCCTTTCCAAATTCCCTAATTCTAACTTGGTTTTATTTAGTTTGGTTTCTAAAATTTTAAAATCGCAAATACTGATTTAATTTTTAATTGAGAAAATTGTCAATAAGTCTTATTGAACTGCAAAAAATTAAGGTTTTAGAGATTAAAATTAGGGACAAAATTATTTTTTAAGGACCAGATATTTTTGTTGCGAAAAGTGTCATCATTATGCTTCCGTTTGGAAAGTGGGTTGACTTTTTGGTTTTTTGACTTTTTTGGCTATTTTAGCTTGGGCTAAAAAGTTTGGTTTGGGAAGGGCTTTTTGGCTTTTTGGCTTTTTTGACTTTTTTTGTGAGAGAAGGGTGTAATGATTATGGGTTGGATGTGATGTTTTGTTTGTTGTGGCTAAAATAGTCTATTTTGTCTTTTGTGGCTAAAATAGCCAAAAAAGCCCATAAACTCACTTCCCAAACGGTGCCTATAATTTTAACAATAAAAATTGGACATTAGTGATGAATTATTATCATTTTGAGACCAATTTTTTTGTCTCAAAAAATAAATCATTTTGAAACCAAATTATTTTGTCTCTAAAAGTCTATTTATTAGTAATATTTTTTAAATTTTGTCACTAAAAGCCTTGTTTTTGACTTTTTAGGCCGACTTTTTAGCTACTATCCTCATGACAATAGAAATTGGTCCCTAAATGTTTTTTGCAACAAAATTTTCACTTTTAGAGACCAAAATTAGTCTCTAAAACTCTTATATGTTGTAGTGTTTTGTTTTCAAGATTACTATGGAGACTTATCAAATTTCAATATAGACAATTAAGTCATTTTTGTCACAAAATGTTCAAGGTTCATTCCTCCATGATAATATATCTTGTCCCAATTTTATTCATCATTTAAAATGAACAAAAATTTCATAAATATTTTTTTAAATTAAGTAAAATGTTATTTTTTTAATTATAAAAATTATGATATTGTATTAAAAAAATTATAAATCACAATGAAAAAATTATCAATAAGTTCTATATTGTTTTAAAAATTACTATTGAGTCATATTAAATTTCAATATTAATAAATAAGTCCTATATTTTATGGGTAAAATACAAATACACACCCTAAGGTTTATTTAAAATACGATTTGTCCCCTGTGATTCTAGAAATTATATCCCATCCCTTGAAATTTTTTAATTTCATAACAAATGACCCCTTTTATTAATAAATTATCAAGTCAATTAACAGTTTTTAATGATGTCAGAAATTTATTTTAATTAATAATTCAAGCAATTTTATCATTGCATAGAAGAACAGTTAAGAATTTCATTTTTTCAGTAAATTCTTTTAAATAAAAAATTTTGACAAGGGGGCATTTGTAATTTTCAAAACTATAAGGAGCAATCTATATTTTAAATGGTTGTAAATTGTAATTTGTAATTTACCCTTTTTTTATTTTGTAAAAATTGTCATAAAAAAGGTCTAATTATTCATAATAAAATATTTTTTTTAATTTTATGTTTATCATTACAATATGAACCAATAATTTCATAAATAATTTATTTTATATAAAATTTTATAATAAAATATTTTTAATTATTGAAATTAAATGAATATTCATAATAAAAAACACAAATATAAGATTCATCAACTATTTCATACATTGAGGAATATATAAATTTGTCATAATATTATTTTTCATAACTCTTTATAATTTAAATAGAATTTATCCTTTTTAGTTTGTTTACATTAAAAAAAAAAGAAAAAAAAATCGTAATTTGAAATAACAAAAAATGATGCATTTAATACTATAGTTATTTCAATCCAATTGTTATTTATTATTTTTTAATATAATAATAATTTTCATAATTAAAAATTTTAATTTTAATTAAGTTTAAATTATTTATAAAATTGTTGTTCATATTAAATGAGGAGATTAAAATTGGGATAAGATAAATCATTACGGAAAAAATATGACAAATAGAACTTAGTTATTCATATTGAAGTTTGATAAGACTCAATAGTAATCTTGAGAATAAAATAAGACTTAATAATAATGTTTTTTTAATTCACAACAAAACTAAAATAAATCAGTCAGTAAACACCCCTAAAACATTACAAAAAGGTGTGTATTATAATATTTTCCTAAACCCTAAAAGAGTGAAGTTAATGGGGAAATTTTTTTTCTTTTTTTTGTGTATCAAAGATAAAATGTTTGTATGTTAGTTATAGCGATTTCTGGTTTTGACCCAACCTTTGTTGTATTTCGGACTCGAGTCTCGTGGTTTAATATTGTTATTTATGTCTTTCTCTCCCTTTCACTCTTTGAGTTTTAGTTTTGGAATGTGTGGGGCATGTTTAGAACAAATGGGTTGTTAGTTGGTCTAGAATGAAGTTGTCCAGATTGTGGCTTCTTCGCTCGAGCGAAGCTTTCCTCGCTCGAGCGAAGCTTTCCTCGCTCGAGCGAGCTTCGTGATCTCTCAGTATTTCTTTCAGTCCTGCAGAGTTTCTGGGAAGATGTTGTTGTTCGCTCGAGCGAGAACTCTTGCGCTCGAGCGATGGTCTTCTGTGTTATGGTTCGCTCGAGCGAGAACTCTTGCGCTCAAGTGACGATCTTTTGTCTGCAAAAATTTTGGGGATTTGTATTCTACGCTCGAGCGACGCTTCTTACACTTGAGCGATGTCACTTATTGTGTTTGGTCGCTCGAACGACAACTCCTTCGCTTGAGCGAGTCTCGCGTATATCAGTTTATAGCAGCTTATTTTTACATCACTTTTTATGATCTTTTTACTCAAAAACCCTAATCCGGCTCTCTAAAATCCACTCGCTTTCTATATTTTGTCCAAGATCCTTTGATCTCTTCACCCTAGTGCTTTTGGATAAAGGGCAGAGCATCTTGAAAGCTCCATTTTCATCCGATTGGAAGTTGATTTCGTCACTTTCAAAGTTCCTTCACTTCTCCTTTGGGCTTCTATACTTGAGGTAGAGATATTCTACACTTTAATATGGTTTTTAACTTAGTTATTTGTTGTTATGAATAAATGGTGAGATTTGGGGGTATTTTGAGAAGACCTAGGGTTTGGGTTCAAATTAAAAAGGGGGTTTTATGTTATGTTACATAAATGTCTATGGGGTCTTGGGTAAGAGATTATCTTGTGTTTAAATTGTTTATTTTGGCCTTTGGGCAACATTTGGGAAAATATAGAGTTTGGCCCTAAAATATTTGGAATAATTATTTTGTATTAATAATGGAATTGATATGAGAAATGTGAAACTGAGAGGATATATGAATGAATGGTGTAGTTGGATTTAATTAATCACTCACCTACGGGAATTTCATGAAATATCAGTTATAAAGATTGTATATTGGTTTAGAAATATCTGTATTAAGCTATTGGTGGAGGATAGTTATGATTGTTGTAGAAATTGCATGAGGATTAAATAAATTGAAACTAATCATTAAACTATATCATTGAATATGACGGTATGTTGAGACATTGAATATGTGTGATTCGAATGTCATTGAACATGGCGGTGTCTTTAAATACATTGTATATGTATAATGTTTTAGGAGGAGAAAGGGGATGTACTCTATGTTTTGGGAGGAGATAGGGGATGGACTCCATTGAAATTAAGTTGGCTGGAGTGTCTAGGGTAAAAGTCTCGAAATCATATGTATATATGGTTGCCGATCCTGTGGATGAAATTTTTATAAAATGGCAAGATTGAAGTGTTTATATATTTGTTGTGTTGATTGAAAACCATTGAGTTGTAGTCTTAGTTGGGTTATTCGCAGAATTATAGACTTGGCCTGTGAGCTGAAATGAAATGAACTAATTTGAAATGAATAAATAGGAATGGATCTAGATGTGAATGTTGGTATCATGTGGTTACGTGAAGAAGATGTGTTTTGGTTATAAGTATTGAATATATACACTTGACACTTATACCTTAGTTAAATCTCATATATTGTGATAGAATGTTTCTACTGGATTTTGGCTCACCCTACTTGGGAAACCATTTTTAGGTATCGGAGACATACCTCCTCCAAGGATGTAGCTTGAGAGGACCTAGAAGCTGAAGTTTCTATTTTTGTGTTTGTGTTTAAATGATTATTCAAGCCAAGGGCTTATTTTTTTTACATAGCTTATGACTCTCTTTTGATGTAACCAAACCATGTCTTGGAAAGATGAAAACTCGTAGGGTATTTATTTTGTTGTTATTAATTAATGTTATATGCTATAGATTCAAGATGAACATTTATGAATGTATATCGCATCTATCATCTTTTGTAACACGAACTCTGATGAATGGAAATATACAAATTCTATTATGCTTACTTCTCTTATGAGTTAGGTTATTTGTATTATTTTGGGGGCGTTACAACTTGGTATCAGAGCTTACCGGGTCTGAATACTTTGGGTACGTGGGAAGTGATTTGTACTACAATGGGTTTGTCTCGCTTGTTAGAGACTTAACTATGGATGATATGTATTTACATAATAACTTGCTTATGTGATTATATGGGTATGAGATTTAGTTCCTAAGATGTTGATTAGGTCTACGGGTTTCTGGAAGTCCTATTAGAAAAGCACTTGATCACTGTTGTTTCTAATTGGAACTCTAGCAATGCCGCGGAACGGTCATTATCTATAGCGATTCTGGTTTTGACCCGTTACCTACTGCATTTTGGACACGGATTGGTATGGTTTAGATAGTTATTCTTATCTCTTTCCCATGTCTTCCCTTTTATTTTGGTTATCGAGTTGCAGTTGTGTGTTTGGGACAGGTTGGTTGCTTATTTTTTTTCAAGCCTTTGTTGCCCAGATTTTGGCTCCTCCGCTCGAGTGAGCATTCTTGCGCTCAAGTGGGCTTCACAAATTTTCTCCTCCGCTCGAGCAGC